TTAAAGACTTTGGTATGTCTCGGCCAGGGGACAGAACCCAAAGCCTTCCTCACAGGGGCGAACGCTCAACAAATGGCCAAAAGTGAGGCATTGTCAAGGGAGACATTAGGAAGAAGAAAGTTATTTAGAAAGGAGAGAAGAGATAAGGTCCCAAATTTAGTCGCCTCTTACGATCATGCAATTGGGGGCAGCAGGTACAATTCTTAGGCCCTACCTGCAGGGGGTGAGAGTTGAATGAAGTTTAACTGGAAATTGTTCCTGACACACTTTGAATTGACGCTTGTCTTGCCGTTTCAGTAAATAACTGATTCACTGATTTCGGGTTTAATAGTAATTTCTTGTCAAAAACTTTAATATGACAATCAAGAAGGCACTGGCTTTAGATTTATATTGCACTATAGAGCTATTATCGCCTTTGTTTTTATATTAAACGTGCAGCTCATCCAGGCGCTACGGAGGGCAAATTTTACCAACTAGCTTTAGATTTATATTGCACTATAGAACTATTACCGCCTTTTTTTATATATTAAACGTGCAGCCCATCCATGCGCTACGGAGGGCAAATTTTACCAAATGGCTTTAGATTTATATTGCACTATAGAGCTATTATCGCCTTTGTTTTTTTATATTAAACGTGCAGCTCACCCAGGCGCTACGGAGGGCAAATGCAGTCACGGGGGAGTGAACGACCACGGAAGGAACACTGCGGCAACTGGTGGGATCAACAAGGAAACTCCTGATTGGAATTGGTCCCCACATGCACATCTGCATAACATATCCGGTCAGACAGCGGTCAGAGCGACGGAAGCATTCTTCATGGACGCAAGTATGCGATGTTTGCTAATTCTTTTTCTAAAGCAAAGACATCTGTCTCTCTCCTTCTGCTTATTTAATATAATTATTCTATTTGTTTCATTTCTTTTGTTGTTTTCTTGAGATAAAAACAAACTAATCAGATATGATTTATGATTATGTGCGCGAAACCGCGCATGTCGTTAGCTGTTCCTCAGTTGCTGTTCCGGCTGATGATATGCCCTCGGTAATCACAAATGGGATATTTTGCATTGGAGGGAAAACATCAGTCCTAATTGCATTTTGATATAATAAACGAAAACATAAACAATAACCTGTGTCGCCGACAAAGATATCGTGGTTTACTATCGCGCGCCATTCATTTTGTTATGAATGTATTGCTTAAATAATCATATTCTTGAATGTTCGCTGATATCTGGTTTTACAGGTCAAATGCGATGTCATTTATACATTTTTGTTTGTTTTTAAAGCATCAGGTTTACTAAGAGGTATTGACCATGCAAAGGTGAAGGAAATATTTAAATTGAAGAAGAAAGCAACACACGTCTCAATGGGATTTGTTATCGATGTCACCGGATCAATGGCTAACGATATCAGGTCGGTGAAAGATTCGATGATTGGCAAGGTGTCCGCAGCTATCGGGACTGACAACGAACCAACCAAATATGTTTTGTCAACTTTCAACGACCCTGGTAGGTTCATTTTTAACCAGCAATCGCCATGTGGTGGGATCTTCAAATCGCCGTTTGTCCGTGGTATATCCGACGTTAAATCAATCTTGTTGGCGCTATTGCTAAAAATAAATAGTCAACAGAGCCAACGGAAACACTACTTGTAGGTTTCCCATGTTCCATAATTGTGCGTTTTATATTTTGAGAGAGAAAGGAAAACTGGGGTGGCCGATAGGCTGCCATTTTTAATCAGAAGATCACCGTTTGTAGAGTAAGAAATTAAAGTTACTCAAAGTATCCAAGTAAAAAGACATATGACCAAATATGTTCTACACTAACAATGTACGTATTAAATGTGTCGCAAGGTTTCAAGAACGACTGGTCCCTTTGTCAAGCAATGGCAAGCTATGATGGCATTTGCGTCACGTTTAGATAGTTTGACAGTCGACCTTTAAACATTGCGACACGTTTAATTCGTACATTGTTTGTTTAGAAAGTAAAACTTTGATATCACATATTGCCAAACTGATGAATCTTATTGAAGAAAAACATTTATAAGAATGGTTTTGGGTTTACTTTTTTTAATGTCCTATCGACAGCTAGGGTCATTTAAGGACGTCCCTAAATGTGTGTTGTGTATGTGTACTTCCGTGTGCAGGAGCAAGGGTATGTTGGTGTATTTGCCTCCTTGTGTAGCGCAGATCTGATGCCGAAGATATAGTGCTGCCTCACTGAAATACCATGTCTATAGTACCAAGTACAGCATTCCACCCAGTCACATTATGCTAACAACGGGTGAACCAGTTGTTGCCTTTCCCCAACATTTTGAACGTTTAGCAGGGAATAACAATTACCATGTTTAAGGACTTTTGGTATGTCCCGGCCTGGGCATAGAACCTATTGCCTTTCCCACGTTCAACATTTAAGTCAAAAGTGAGGTATTGTTAAGGAAGGCGCTAGAAAACGGAAAGAAAATTGGAAGAGGAGAGAAACTTAAAGATCCAAAATATTGCAATGGGAGCAGCAAATTAAAATTAGGTCGCCTTTGTGCCCCCAAGTGGAGGGCACAAAAGCATATCCCCAATTTACAGGAATATGCCATATTAGTCACCTCTAATGATATTCTTTTCTTGATCCCCAACCTGTTGGGGTGAGATAGGAAAAGATGAAACTAACATAGAACTGATGATTATCGTACAATGTAGGGTCAATACGACGATGGTGTTATTTCCTCACATAACTTTATACCATTTTATTTTGCTGTATATATTGAGGATACAAATATTTTGTCATATTATGCGTTTGTTAAAGGGCTGGTTCAGACTGTAGAAAACCCATATTGTGGTGATAGAATTTGCTTTTTTTTCTGTTTGGTTTTTGTTGTGGTTAAACGTCCTTGTAACAACGAAGGTGTTACGAAAACGAGTGCCTAATGAGCCATCACCGCAATAAAAGAGTAGGTTGTAGAGAAAAGAAATACTTTGTTGGAAATGATCCGCTACAATGGTGAATTTGTAAACAGTTGTTTTAATTGTTATTACTCCAGGGTCAGGGTTGATCATTATTATACAATTAACAAACCTTTATGGATTAGCTTCAATATAACAATCATACTTGCTTTGAACACTATAATACATATTTGAATGAATCATTTAACAAACTAGTTTTGCATTCCTGTTAGATATAGACTTTGAATTTGATTGATAGTTTCAATCCGTTTAAATCATATTGTTAACTACCATAGAATTTTGTTGAACCGAAAACAGAAACAAGTAGGAATTTTCAAGTATTACTTGGTAAGTCATATTGGGCCTGACAACAGTAGTAACAGACACTTAAAAAACAGAATTCACCAAAAGGAAACTGAAAGGTCAAAGGTTTAAATAAAAAAATGGTTGTTGTGTTTGGATTTAACGTCCTCGCCACAGCCAGTGTCATATGATGACGGGTGTCTTTGGTGACACCGCCTGAAACAAAACAAAAAGTATTTAGAAAAGAAAGGAGATGGAAGGTAGGAAATGAAAAAGATCGTAAGTGTTGCAATTAGGGCAGCTTATCAATTTTGATCTCTTTTATGTTACCTCCGTAGAAGACACAGGAGTTGTGTGGTAGGACGCCGGGTTCGTGACCGAAGGGTCACGGTACGGCAATGTGTTGCATCTTTGAAGAAGATACTTAACTCCGCTTGTTCATGTATACTCAGCTGTAAATTAATACGTGGTTGGACAGTGCTAGAAGTGTAGATATCTACGACGACATAGCAGCACCGGCTGTATGGTCCTCAGGGAGTTGAGAAGGATATTGGCTGGTTGCAAAGGCCATATAACAACGGAAAAATAATTTGTGAACCGCTTTGAGACGACCTACGAACTAGATTGTGATTAAGCGGTATAGAAGAACCTCGAATTATTATTATTATAATTAAAGGAAAAACCCTGAATCTGCGGGGGCCGACATAAGTCGTCATTTACGATACACATGCAGTGGGATGTATACAATGGCCATCGCAAATAAAACCAATATCAAGGTTACACTGCCTTCAGTTACAATGGCACATGTATCTTTCAGGAAGCCTGACCACAGTTGCCGCAACAGCGGATGGAAAAGAGATGATACGATGGATAGAGAATTTGACTGTGGATGGAGGAGATGACTGTCCAGAATATGCAATCTCCGGACTACTGGCTGGTATGTTTAAACACATCAAAACGCTTATTCTGATATTTCATGATTTCAGATTACTTAGTTTCTACGTCATTAAATCACATTTTTGCAGGTATTAATTGCATTATGATTGTTCCTCAACTTTCAATGCAACAATTTGTTTTAATACGATGCATATCTATAACAGATTATTATCAAGTGGTTACTTATATCAACGTCTGGTGCACAATGTTCGGTTAAAAATTATTATACCCCACGCAACGAAGAATTGCATTACCCTGTCTGTCTGTCGTCCGAAGTAAAGTGTCTGGAAAACTCCATCTTCATTAATTTCCAGATTAACAAATAACATATCAGCTTTGTAGTCTCATTTAATGATATATTGAATGATGCAATCGTTATACTGAAATGTATATTCACCTAGGTATATCCCTGTGATTATATTTTAATTCATATAAGATATTGCTTTTATATAAAAGACTATTTTCTACAACATTTTCTCTGTCATATTTTTTCCAGCTATTGATGCGTGTGTTCCAAATTCAGTTATCTACCTTGCCAGCGATGCAGATGCTAAAGATGAAAATATGACTAACATCGCAATACAAAGGGCGAATGCAAAACATATCAAACTGGAGTTTATTTTGACCGGAAGTTGTGGTTTAAGTCGACGTCGCAGAGGTAAAATTAAACAAAAACGAAAATAGAATACCAAAATGTCAACAAAACCATAATTCGAATTCAGATCTATTAAACACGGGGAAAATATGATAAAATGGAAGATTTACATGGATACCCCTGAAAAGGTAAAGGGAAATACGATTAGTTGTTCCGGAAGGGTGAGCGTCATTTCCTTTAACGATGACACCCAACATGTAAATCTAAGTCGACTCCAAATAATATTGCATCTTGACATCGAAGCGCGGATAGTAGCAACAAAACTACAAGGTACTCGCGCATGACTAAAATATCACAATACATAATCAATCGAAAGAGAAGACCAACACTGAACCCCCTCATTTTTCTCATCTTCGGTAGATGAGAATTGAACATCAACTAAATTGCAGCACGTGGTTAATCTTCCTTTTTCATATATCATTAATGTTGCTCTTTTCCATGTTTATCCCATTGTCAGAATGACACCGTGAGGTACTTTTTGGCAGATTATGACGATCTTTGTCAGTGAGATGGCCTTTCAGTGACACATTTGCAACAGATAGTCTTGATTTTACCTGATCTATGACGACGATTTTTCTTAATCCGAGTCCTGTCTATCATCAAATTCTTCTTATTTGTAACATTCCACCCTTGCTACCCCATCCTAAAATATGACATATACGATCAAGAGTTAATTCGTTTCTTTGATTTCCTTCTGTATTGTCGTAGTAATTATCGTCTGTATTGCTGAATTGACCTCGGTCTTTGGACATGTAACTAGATATGTACTAAATAAAAAACTCAATCCCAATTATTCGACAATTTGTTTTTTTGAATTTTAATATTCGTTTCAGAAATACAACTACGACAAAAGAGAGGTCTCTCAGCCTTTAAAAATCTTGCTGCAGGCACCGGAGGGAGTGTGTATCACATCGACCATAGTGAAGTTACCGCAGACACTGGTGATTTGCACTCTTTGATGACAAAAAGGAAAACCGGCGTTAAAAAAAAACGGAAAAAAAGTTGTTAATTAATACTTGTTTTCCAAACAAACTTAAAATGTATATATTTGTTTATATTATTGTGGAGACGGGCTTAGACAACCACGTCTCTAGCTAGAAGTTTGTTTTAGCATTACGGTTATTGTCTTTCAGTGATGTTCATGTTTCTTCCGTTAGTATATAAGAAAGTCATCCATATATAGGTAATTGTCTACTATAAAGACAGGGTTTGACAATTCTATTTATTTCGGACCGAAAAGTATAACAGAATGAATATTTTCCTTTGGTACGACCGGACAAATGAATACGTATTTATAGGTCTTATTCAAGGTCATTGATTCACAATATATTTTTGTTTTGTATTTAAAGCATCGGGTTCGCTTAGAGATATTGATCAAGCAACTGAGAAGAACATATTCAAATTGAAGAAAATTGCAAGGCGACAAGTATCTTTCGGATATGTCATCGACGTTTCAGCATATATGGCTGATGATATCAGGAGAATAAAGGATGCATTAATCACCAAAGTGTCTACAGTTATAGGGACTGTCAACGAACCAACCAACTATGTATTGTCGACTTTCAGCGATCCTGGTGGGTTTTCGTTTTATTATAAGATTATACGAAATCAACATAGTACATAGTATCAGTCTCGAGTTCAAACATTCGTCACCAACGTTTTTCACTGATTCGCAAATACACTAGACCACGTTTTGTTATTTTTTTTTGTTAAAAAATCTTATATATATTTTTTTTTTTTATCTTTTCTTGCGTTTTTGAAATTTTGTTGTTTCAATGCCTATAACATACCGCGGTAATAATGCTGTAGTCATTTGTTATGGAACCAATTTAAATCGGAGCCATAAACTGTAAGGTGTTAAACTGTAAAACGATTGTGTTTAAGGCGATCACAACAAAACTGAATTCGAAGCCAAGAGGGCCAATATTACTCATATTAAGATCCATTCGTATGTGTATAATTATGTTTATAGTACAATTGTTATCGCATCCTCCCAAAACACACACGCATACACTACACGCATTCATCTTGCACACAGGGAAGGCCGTCCTTAAATGACCATAGCTGTTGGAAGGACGTTAAACAAAACAAAACCAAACTAAACTTATAGTGTTATGATCTAGATTATTGTGATGTATGTCAAGCGACTAAATTACGAGGAATAGAACAACAGACGAGGAGTAATCGTGATAGCAAATTAGTTTTGGTTTCTTCATGCCATGGAAGCATTTATATGGTTACATAATAGGAATATAAAATAGTTATAATGCAAGGACTATGAAACGCTCTGTTTTATTCGTCGTCTATAAATCACGACTCGGGGCCTGATTGGATTAAAGAATTAGGTTCGTAAAACCTGTCTACCATTATAGCCCATGCTAACTTAGGAGCCTAAGTTGTAGTCAACGTTTAACTTTTAAAGGTTTATTTAAGAAAATGAACCAGAGTGCTGAATTTTATAACATATCAAAGGTTCATTTTGAAGCAATCTATCCATATTATTTCATTGTCAAGTAACAGGACACTTCAAAGAATAAAGTTGACCTCATGACAGGTAGTTTGAGCTTGAGATGAATTTTACCACAACATCTTTCAGCAAACCTCACCAAAGTTGTCACTACAACAGATGGAAATGAGATGGTACGGATGGTATCTCAACTGACTCCGGAAGGGGGAGGAGACTGTCCAGACTATGTCATGTCCGGAATACAGGCTGGTCTGTTAACACTGAAATTATTAATGCTTAATTTGTGTATTGTCTATCAACAGAAATGGATAACTATTAAACATTTCTATAAATTGTAGCAACATTTAAGATCAGCAAGGCAATGTCTTGTAAGGCAATGCGGATTCCCCAAACGGTAACGATTTCTTCATATAAGTTAAATTGTGCCTTCCAGTTCCAATAATAATAATGAATTCATCTCCTTATGAAAAAAAATGTTCATCAAAAATAGTCACTGAATCTGCCTTATATGTAGCTGACCTATATGTTACGTACAACATGTAGTTAATTGAGGGATTGGTCAAGCGGAACACCACCCACTCACTGATCAATATTGCAGGTACAGGTAACAGCGGCGTATAAATGGTGCAAACATATAGACTTAAGAACTATTGCAAACCCAAAAAACGTTCACACCGCGGTTAGTTTGAAGAGCCACAGCGCGAATATTTCAGCATTTATATCATGTTAAAATCAATTTGCATCTTGGAAAATCAGCTAGTTTGCGTTTGTTTTTGTCATGATTTTTTATTACATTTTTAGATATAATTTATGATTGAAAGTGACAAAATAATCAATAATCATATTTGTTTATCTCAGTTTTTCAACGTAACGTTGCCCCCTGCAGTCTGCAGAAAATGTAGGCCTGCTTACTCCCAAACATGTTATTGTAAGAGGTTACAAAATGCATAATCAGATGTTTTCTTGAGTATCCGCTGGAGAGAATAATATGGTTAGCTGCCCCCATCGGAACGCTGTGGATACGTTCTTTCTTTTGACGTTTCTCTCTTTTGTTTGTGATCATTCTTAAAGCATGCAAGGACGATAAACTCCAAATAATTTTATCAATTGTAAGAGGACGAGTACTTACTGAGCCACCCCCAACATACGTATAGGGAAATGAGAAAGGAAACAATAGATTCTACGACAATGTTGCAATTTGGGTAGCATATCTTTTTTGGTTATCTCGGTGAAACAGACAAAAAACTCCCAAATATGCAGGGTAACACATGTTGGTTGCCTCTTACGAAACGCAGATGTTAAGCAGATCTATATACCCAAACACGGGTAGAGGTATGTTGTTTTGATTTGAATTTATTATATTTCTGCTTGATTTTTTTCCAGCTATTAAGGCATGTTATCCATACTCAATTATCTACGTTGCCACGGATGGCGATGCCAAAGATGAAAATATGACCGATATTGTAATACGCGAGGCGATTGCAAAACACATCCGAGTGGAATTAGTTCTGACAGCAACCTGTAGTAGTTCAGGTCAACGTCGCAGAGGTAAATATAATGATCTATTATATCACATTTCAATATTACTCGTAAAAGACTACCACTATACGTTAGTATAATTATGTTTAATATAAATTATTTGACATTAATGCAGATTAAAACTGACATATCCCTCATTAGCTGCAAGTTACATATTTTTGTTACCTATTCATACTCATTGTTTTCCTGTTGTCAGAACAATGTGACCGGGTGGGGGGATTTTGTGCCAGTTTTTGACCAACTGTATTAGCGAGACGGCATTTGAATATGTCATCGTCTAGATTTTTGAGTTGAGTTGAGCTATTGCGGCGATTATGTTTTGCAAGTCTCCTAAAACGTGAACACTAACTCCCTAACCCTTAACCAAAGATGATTTTTAAGAGTCAAAGTTCCTCATTTCCTAGTAAATAGATATATTGATTGCTGAATTGACTTTAAACTGATAGTCGTCTATTGACTTATATCTAGGTTGGTACAGAATATGGTTTTGATATATAAGATGTCATATTTATTTATCTTTCCCCCCCTTTAATATCAGAAATGCAGATGCGACATAAAAGAGGTCTCTCAGCCTTCGAAAGTCTTGCTGCAGGCACCGGAGGGAGTGTGTATCACATAGACCATAGTGAGGTTACCGCAGTTCTCGATCACGTCCTGGAAGTAAGTTTTTTCGAGGATATGTTCGAATAATAAACAACGTTCTTTTGATATTTGTTGGCTTGAAGTTTTACGTGCTCGCAACAGCTAAGGTCAAGGGAAACATCGCCTTAATGACTGAGCTGTACGCAAGAAAGTTAAAGACGGATATCAAGTATTCAGAGTTTGGCAGCATATTTTGTTTTCTTCAGTGTGCCGTAATGTGCTCTTTCCGTGTTGAATACAACCTCTTGCTAAACGTAATACCAATCGTTATTTTCAGAAAGATTTTCCATCCTCTGAAGCAATCATCGACTACTTTGTCCAGACAACGTCAGATAACGACACGATGGATGTCACAGTAGACAGTGAGGCAGCCGTCCTCGTCATCACAATCACAGGACCATACAGCTTATCGCAAGCGGCTCTGTCATTTCCAAATGGTGAACGTACTATCTTGTTTTATAATTATTTAAACGGATTCATTGTTTTAATTTTACAATTTCTAATATTTGGTACATACATCTAGCGATATAACGTTCAGGTTTATGTTTTATTCGGTTTAAAGTCATATTAGCGGTTACGTATAGTGTACCGTACGCGTTCATGTGTGTACGTGTGCTGGGGCGGTATATTGGTTATTTCCCTCCTTGTGACAGCAATTATCTGATGACGATGTTATAGTGCTACCTGACTAAAATACCATGCCGACAGCACCAATCACAGCATTCCGCCCGATCACATAATACTTTGTACCATGTCTGATATTTTTCCTAATGTTATTACGCTGTAATATTTGTTTTTTTTCTTCTTCTTACCTTAGGGACAATGCAAGCATTCCCGACGAAACTAGCTACGCAATACTACTCAAGTCACACAATAACTATGTCAATACAGGTACGAGTAGGATTAAGGCTTGCACACATTCCACAACGTTTGGTTTTTTAACAATATAAACAGTTTGTTCCTGCAATTTTTTTTATATGAAATACGTCCGACATGATGATGTTAATTGAGAAACGTGCTGCTGTCTACAAGTGAGAGTATGTGTGTATTGACTGTTTGATGTTTTATACATCTTTGTTTTCGTTAGAGGCAGATTTCTGCGCGAAACTATTCCATTCTCGTATGTTCATAGAAAATAACAAAAAAAATGTTATGAAACCTTTACTTATTTATGTTATTTGTATTAAGGATAACGCTTGAGAGAATATATATTGTTAAGTACACGCGAAATAAACTTGAGCTCTTGAATTATCAAATTCGACTTTTGTAATTATTTTATAAGAAGTGTGTTAGCAACCAGTTTAATATTTAGACAAAATTCACTCGTATACACCTTGTGCATGTGTTTTTGTATCACATATTCATATTTGAATATTACCACTAATTATTTCCAGAGACCTTCTCCTGGAATTTGGAAATTGACCCGGATTAAGAACAGTTCCTGGAAAGTTAATGTTACCGCCTCCACATACATGGATATCGACAGCCAACTGAAGGAAACAGATGAATATGGAATATCTTATGTGGTGGATCGTAACCCTATTATGGGTATGTTATATTGTATTTGTTTTCTGTAACTTTTCAAAATAATGTTTTCATATGTAACAAGTCTAATGCAGGTCAAATAAAACTAGATGTATCATTAAACAAAAGTAAAGGTTACACAGCAGGGGACCATGCGGCGCTGAGAACAGATGCAGGGAAATATTATGTAACTACAAATGTATCAATATTATATAATATATAAATATTTTGAATACCGCTCCCTGCAATCAAAGTATTGGCCGTATACAGGAATCATCCTGTCCGTCCGTCCGTCCCCCCATCCATGTTCCCTGTAAACGTAACTCTTCCTATTCTGAGTTTTAGATACAGTGAAGTACACAACATGTAGATGTTCATGAAAAAAAGGAATTTGCGATTCGACTTTTTTATGTTATGGCCTTGAAACTTTAAATTTCTGTTACAGAAATCTTGCGACCACACCTCCTCCTAAGCTTCCTTAACTTTTATTTCGTAACTTGGCAAATTGAATCTGCATGATATGTAGATGTGTATAAAGAAAGGAATTTGGAATTTATGTATTAACCTAGAGTTATTATATTTACAACTCTAAATTTCTAAACCAAAAAACCCTGTCAGCGCAACTCCTTTTTATCTATTTGTTTGATTTAGTTTTTGTAACTTGGCATATTAAAACTATATCATAGGTGGATATGCTTGAAGGGATGTTTTTTTTATCTTCTTTGGCTAGTTTTCCTTGAGTAATGACCCTTAAAACTATAATTTCTTTTGTAACTTAGCATAAAAAACTGTATCATATGAAGAAATGTTTTTTTTATCTTCTTTGGCTTGTTATGCGGTAGATATATAAATATAATTGTAACTGTTTAATAAAAATATATATATGGAAATGGTGTTCAAATATCACAGGTAAAAACTACACTCTAGAAGTCCTTGCCTATAACCTGAACGCGACGTCGACGTCCTTCTCTCTGCATCTTTTAGACGAACAGGGCACTGACTTATTTAGCCGGCCCGTGCATATCACATTCGGTTCTTCGAAAATAACTGGATATATATCTATAACGATTCCATCGAAGGTAAGTGAAAAGAAACAACTGAATGGTCAGATAAAACCTACCTCAAGTTATCCATGAATTAATGATTTTATCACTAGAACGCGCCTCTATTTCTGAAATACATGCGTGATTGTGTTTATTTGTGATGATTGCAGGGTATGTTTATGTAGAGCACAGGTGGAGGCATCGCCTAAAACAAATTATTTTTCATGTGTAATCTACTCTCACGCGTGTGAACTAATGCTAAATCTGTCCATTATGATGCGTAATCTAACTGTTTCACATGTAAGAAAATAATGCTGAATCTGTTCATGTGTTGGTTATAATGATACTTTGTAACAATACATCTGATACATATGATGCTGATGATATTGATGATGATGATGATTGGTAATTGATGATGATGGGGATGATTGGTAATTGATGATGATGGGGATGATTGGTAATTGATGATGGTGGTGATGATTGGTAATTGATGATGATGGGGATGATTGGTAATTGATGATGATGGGGATGATTGGTAATTGATGATGATGGGGATGATACTTTGGTGATTGACGATAATGATGATTTTGATGATGATGATGATGATGATGATGATGATGATATTGAGTGTAATCTTGTTTTATCATACTTAAGAAATAATGATGAATCCGACCATGACATAATGCTGAATCAATCTATGAATATTGCTGAATCTGTCCATAAAGTAATGCTGAATCTGTCCATGAAATAATGCTGAATCTGTCCGTGAAATAATGCTTAATCTGTCCATGTGTAATCTACTCTCTCTGTCATGTTTTATTTGATTGATGTTATTTTGTTTGACCTCTTGTTACACACTTTGTGTGTCAGAGCTTAATAAATAATAAAAAAATCTTGAAATCTTGATTCCTAAAACAATTTGTCGAGAAGTGGAAAACACAATGCTTAGGTCTCCAGGTAGCAATAAATCGGCAACCGATCAGATTTAGTCACCTCAATGTCCCCAGTGTATACATGGGATTTATAGAGTGTCCTTCTTATTCATCGCATGAACAGTATGAGACATGCCTAAAGGAATAGATATACATGTCGTAGCAGGAGCATAGAAATGTATGGCTAGACTTTGAATCGAATGTGAAACCCTCCCAACTCTAGACTAATTCTTTAACCAATAGAAATTCCTGGATGCAAACGATCGACCAAGTCAATTTCCGATACACATGTAAATGAAATTTAACAGAAAATGATGATGGCTTTACAGATAATCTATTTCTGTTTCAGAATTTCTACGTGCAGCTAAGCGGTATCGATCAAAATGGCTTCAACTTCAAAAGAATGTCTAGAAAATTGATAAAACCTGTGGGCGTGGACTTATTCGTACAACCAATATTCGGTAAGAATATTACCTTTTTAAACTTTGACCGCTAGAGTTATTATATTCCCTTGTCGACTGTATCATTTTGTGATTTGAGGTACACTTAAACAATATTACAACCCTTTAGCAATGCAATAAAGGAACCCAAACCAGAGTGGCTATTCTTTAGTTGCCAAACACGAGAGTTGCCGAGGCATTTTATAAAGGTATAAATCCGGTGCTGCTATTTCGGCGCTCACAGCTAGCATTAAATCATCCCATCATTGCCTTACCACGTACTCATTTACAACTGAGTAGTCTGGAACAAGTAGAGTAAAGTGACCTGTTCAAAGATACATCACAGTGCCGTGAGGTCACTCGAACCCTTCGGTCACAAGCTGGGCGTCCTACCACTAGACAGACGTGCCTTAATTAAGACCTCAGAGAATACATAATTCGCTAGATTATTTTACTTATATAATCATTTTATTTTCCATCTGTACTCTATAAATATAAATAATATAATATATTAAATACATTTTCTAATAATTGAACACTAATGGTTTTAATTCATTTTGAATTATACATATATATACATGTATATATTGCTAATAGGGAACCTTGACGTTGGGATTGCACAGAACATTACGTATACTCTGAGTAACCTGGGCGCCACCACACAGACCTATACCGTCAGTATCGACGATGACAAAAGCAGACTTCAGAGTCCAACATCTCGACAGCACACATTGCTTGCTGGAAATTCTACAGGTGGACGTTTCCAGATGACGAGTTCCGTTGAATTGGAATATGTGTTAGTATTAGTCAAAAATGGTATTTCTAAATATGTCATTTTAAAAACTAACGAATTATATTTTTATTTCTTTCCTTTTTCACTCTCTGGTATGCTCTATCCCTACAATTAGTGTGTTAATAGCATAAATCAGTTACATATCTGAGAATTTGGTTTATATGACGAACATTGGCAATAATACACATTCATATTTCATAAAGTCAACATTACAGTTGTCAGAAATGATCATTCAAACAGGCGACATTTTCTTTGCAAGAAACAATTACAGAAAAGTTTAAGTTAAATAAGTCGAATAAGAGGCACTCTTACATTCGTCTTTCCATAGCTGCCCAATATATGTCATCAAATATATATCGAGATAAACTGATGTTAAAGATATGTCGAATTGAAAATAAATTAGCAATGTAAAAACAAAGGACGAAAACTCTGATTTATTAACATGATGTCAACGTATTTATATTATTGCACATACGTAAATGTATCATATATTGTAATACAAATACATTTGACTTGTAGAACATACACTGTGAGTGTAAAACTGCCTGGCTCTACAACTGCCCTCCAATCTTCAACATCTACAGCCATGGTATGTTCCGTGTATATTGCAATCATTACCTATAATCCGACTCGTTTTTTGTTCAAGACCCAACAATGCAATAAGGTTACACTGTTCATAAAATGCTAAAAGAAACCTGATGAAAGTACGAATAAAGGAAGGATTTACGCGAATGCGCTTAAGAAAACGAGAGGGAAATATGACGTGACCCAGAGATCATAAAACTGTTTTGAGTCTAAAATTGACTTTGCCAATCACAAATAAAGTAATGAAAGGTGACTTCTTCCTGATTGGCTAAGCAAAAACTGTTAAAGTCTAAGAATTTCTTATGATCCTGGGACCAGATGTTTCGGAATAAACCATCCAAAGTGTTTAAATGCAACACAGAACGCTTTCAAGCAACCTTCTCTATTCTGTTGAATTATTTCTATTTTTATGCCGAACTACCTACGAACAATGCTGCATTACATGTATCACTAGTCTTTGTATCTCAAACATAAGTTCGGCTAACACTTTTGAAAAATCCGTTAAGTGGCCTTTTCGTACAGATGGTCTCTAAATGCAGGTCCAGTAAACATAAAAGTAACATAAATGCGGAAATTTAAAAGTGGTCTTTTTAGATAGTCTCTTAATCAGGTGTTATAGTAAAGGAGGAGATTAATTTAATAATTGTGTTTATTATTATGCCTTTTTGCAGTTTGCTGGAGCCGTCTGTTCATCCTTCGTGGCTAAGAAGTGCAGACAAGCTTACACCGGCACTAACTGCTCGCTGTATGCATGGGCTGCTACAGCCGTGTTTTCATTCGATGTTTCGACATACGTCAACGTCGCAAACGTTTCGATGACCATCGACTCAAAAGATAGAAAACGTTTACATGTGAGGTAAAGTGAGGATATTCATGTTTAATGTTTTTGGATTTTTAAGTGATAATCGTTCTGAAATTGTTAACGAAGAGTATTAATTTTCCAAATTTGTCTTAAATTCAATTTCAAAATAATCTTAATTTAGATTGATGTTAACAATTAAATCGTTTGACTTGTATATATTCAAAAATATTAAAATCTAAAACTAGAACTGCATGAATAGGGATTCTAAATGACCATCGACTACCAGAAATATAACAAGTATTTGTGTATTCTTCGATATTTCGTAAACAATGCACTGGATAATTGATATGTCTCAAACAATATATCGAACATTGTTTAAACTGCCCGTTAAGGTAATCAGCTAAAACCCAATCGGCCCTACTTAACTATTTTACCGTTTTTCTGACCATATAATCATTGCACATGTATGTTTTAACGTTTAAGTTTTAACCCTGATAGTTTTACGCCGCATGAAAACAATTGGTGTGTTGTAGTGGGACTTGCTGTCAAGACAACTTCACTGTCAATGCTAAACCGTCAGCCGGAAGTGGATGTAATACTTCTCAGCGCGTAATCGCATTAGACCAAGAAGCGGATGTTGTTGATGAGATTACAGACCAAGGATCTGGCGAAACAAATCACAATGTTGGTGATATTCAAATTTTGTTTAACAGAAAAAAGCATTTCAATAGTATTTCATTTCACCCGAGTTAACCATTTTCATCGGTTCTTTTTTTCTGATTTCAAATCTCAACAATAGAAAAAATGCCCATTTTTTTAAACGTCAAAAAGGACATTTTTTTAGCCCACATTCAACTGATGATGGTTGGCTGTTCCAAATGCCATTCTCCGCTCTTGAACCTATGCATTCAAATTAATACTTTCTCATATAGTAACTGGATGGATCTGTCTTAAATTTCATATCATCTTGGACCAGAGTTGTCCATGGGTTTTTTCGAGACTGATCGCAAAATGTAAGGTAGCCGTCTGGCAGTCATGATGAATTCTAAGTGCAGGTTTATTATTGTTATTTTTTGAAAAGCACCGCAGATATCCCTCTCCAATTGCATTTGTAGGTTCCCCTTCAACCGTAGTTGTGCGTTTGTTTCAAATAATCGGATTAACAAGACTGATGCAAAATTATGACCGATATTTCTAGTACTAGTACTAGACTTATCTTTCTCGATTTGTACCGTTGTACCGCACATATAGTTGTGTATGTGACATTTTGAGATTGGCTTGGAAAACAAGATGGCTGCGTTAACTGTTAAATTAAAACTCTGAACGGATACTCTGAAACAAAGCTGTATGACGTTTTGTAGAGAAAATATCTAATATCTATAAAACGAATGAAAATCTTAGTATGATGGGCACTAAATCAATCAAGGATTTCTTGTCACTACCTTTTGACGTTTATAGATATAACACTTAATTTTTCGGATTTTTTCTTTTGATCGTTCAATAACGTAGACACGTATTGTTTCTATCGTTTTAACAGGAAACTGAACCACGCAAAAGTCCAACTCGGACCTCAGGTTCTAACACTTGGCTTATTGTTGGCGTCGTGATCGGATCTGCAGCTGTCATCGTGGTCATTGCCACTGGAGCAATTAAATTGATAGCTAATGTTGGGAAGAAAAGAAAATCAAAGATCAACGATTCCCTGGAGCAAAACGACTATCCTACACGTCAGGATAATGCTAACAAACCACAGTTCAATCAAAATGCACTGGATTATTAAAATGTTCAAATAAATCAAAATGATTAGTTTGCGGAAAATGTATCTTGCTTGGTTTTGCGTCTGAGGTTGACAAAACATATATATACTATATACTTGACAATATTATATAAATATGTGCGACTTCCTAAAATATTGTACACTTGTATCTCCATCAGCCGACATTATATAATAATGTACAACTTCCTAAAATATTGTGTTTTTACGGGTGTTTCCATCAATAGATATTAAACGTCGCATTTGAAGCAGAAAACAAGATCGCAAAAAAATCAACTTCGGGCGTATATACAGATAAGCAATAACAGTTCATAATAACGAGATATTAGATTTTAGGAAAAAATGTAGAATTAATTGTATTGTGGCGTGTTGATTTTTTGTGTTTATATGCTGTATTAATAGCTAGAACTTGTAGCGATATAACATGTTTTCTGTAAGTGGGATCAATACCAATATTAATTGTATATAATTAAACATTGACATACTATTTAAATAGAATTAAATCTGCTCTAAATAAACTATCCCTTTATTGGTGATATGCTAGGTACATGTACTTCGGATTGTGTGCTAAGGAGCTCCCTTTGAGCATTTATATTTTGTAGCAAAACTATTTTTGTTCTTTACGGAAAAACATATCAGTATCAATTCTATACAATATGATAATGAAATACTTTTAGAGAAAAATTGAAATTGATTTTTTTTTCTGGATGAATTTTCTACGTAACTGATGTTTTGGCTTATTATATTATGCTGGCTGTTATGGCGGCAGTTTAATCAGTTGTAATTATTGTTTAATCAACGAGAGCTATACCAAAAGCAGTTCTACATTAAGAAGCTATGACGCACGACGGAGGTTGACTTTTATTTGTAACAATGAGACCAACTTTTGTGATTGTTGTGACAAAGAAATTAGTACTTTGCTTTTTTATATGTTGGTTTTAAGCTATTAAATTACGTCGCAGTAGTACATGTACATGTTTTGTGAATGATTATTGAAATAAAAGTGACTTTGATGATAAGACTTTCTCATATCTCTGTGTATAAAAGATAATCGTGTCCAATGTTGAAAACCAACGATGAATACGTGAGTCAGTGACTTGCACTTTTATGACGTTACAATAAGATGACTGCATTTTATTATGACGTCGCAATTGAAAACGAATCGAAACGTCGGTTGACTGACTGGTAATGTTGACATCGGTAAGTGACACCGCCTCAGGAAGGAACATTAGAACTGTTTATGAGCTTCACCTAAAGGTCTTACAGAAATATTTGCTATTTCTAGTGTTGTAGTTGCATTGCCTACGTCCCGGTTTACCAAAATGTAAGTTGAAAGTTACGGGGGAAACGGTCAATTGTGTTATACTGCTATTCTAACCCCATCTGCATAACATGGCACAGACTCGATTCTGACCCAAATTCGGGTAGTAGAACAATATCCAACATTCCTACATATGATATACTACACACTGTTATGTCTGTGAACACTTTTATGTCTGTGATCATATTTTTAACTGTTATGGTTTAACGGCGTTATGGGCTTAAACATTTATAGTAAAAAAATACAGAACCTTTTTAAAATTGAAACGGAAATGTTGATGCAATTATTATTTTGATTAAATGTAAATAGTTTCTGGTTAAAAAATATTGTTTTTAATTGTGAAAAACAAAAAATGTTCCGGTGTTCAGTCAAATATTGAAATAAGATTCATGACCATTTGATACAATTTCGGCGTGTGTCGTTCCAAAGAAAACAACTAACATCTATCGTTCAGAGGCGCTATACTCTCGTCAAATAGTTTGGTGAGAGTTACGTTTTCTTTGTGTGTGGAGACAAGGTTTTGTGTCCTCGTGCCAGCTTATATCAAATGGCGGACATACATAATAGGCAACCAAGAGTCACTTAACAATGTCATTGAATCATTTGGGCATCCGCGTAAATTTCCCCCGCGCGTATAGTTTCGTCGATTGTGTAAGGAACGACTAAATAGCACTCACCTGTTTGATCCCACTTGATTATGAGATCAGCTGGTATAACACACACATACACAAGAATACAGTTCACCTTTATTTTCATCTGTCCAATGACCAGTCGGTACGCATACGTAAGATGTACTCAGTAGCTGATAGAAGTTTTAGCTGTACACATTTTGTAAGGTAAGGGAGATAACTATGCAGAGTAAACGTCAGTCTACCGCGACCGCGTAAATTACCCCCGCGCGTATAGTTTTGACCTTCAAATCGCGTAATTTTCACCCAGCGTAAATAACCACGTTTACAGTATACGAAGGACACACTGTCCTATGATAATTTATATGCATCAACATACTGCGTGCCTGACATGTGCACAACAAATCCAACTGTTAATGAGACGTTTGACAAAAAAAACAACACCTTATAGCCTAAATTCATTATGTCGCTTTTGACAAAAGGGATATAGACAGTTAGCATTATTTTTAACACTCAGAAAACCTAAGACTAAAACTTTCTTTTTTATTGAACATTATTTTTAATTCTACATTAACACCAAATGTAGGCTCATATTAACACCTTTATAGTTTGGTGAGCTTAGTCATGTGTGACCTGCGTTGGTGACATGAATTGATAAGAAGGATGATATAACGCATATTTTTGTTACATTGTCAGAATGCAGATCTATTATATTCAAATGCGAACGAGACTCTCATTTACCCGAGACCTCGGGCTGACAGACACTCACTCACATATGACCTCAAATTAATGCAGGAAATGCGGAAGTTTTTTGCATTTGTTTAGGGTTTTACACTCTCGCAAAAGCCAATGTTACGTGAAGAGGGGTAGATACCGCCGAAAGGAAAGGCTAGGTAAGTGAGAAAACAAAGATATAGGTCCTACGTGTTACAATAGGGCTGCAGATCTTCAGTACCTTCAAGATACAAGTTATAAACTATTAGAACGAACAAAATATGCACAATCTCATTGACATAAATTCATGGCAAATAAGTCGACAATTTCTAATAAATTTAATTGCAACATATTTTTTCTCTCAAAGATGCAATTGTAAAGTGAAAATGGTCTTAACTCTCTTTCGGATCAAGAAAATATTAAACTTTTACCAAATTTGTTGTGAAATGTTAACATCCTCTGTTACATTAAGATGATTGCAATACAAATAATATAAAAATGTCACATCAACTGTGTTGCTAAATTGCCTTCTTGAATTGAAGATATTTACTTCAGTTGCTTTTTTTCTTTTTAACTAATCTCAACAACATTATGTACAATGTGTTTAATTTTCACAAGCTATAAATGTGAACACTCTTGTTTTCAAACAACACATATGAAAAACTTTCATTTTGAGTCGTATTCAAATACAAATTGAAGGATATGCCCATTTATGCAGCTTGAATTAAAAAAAAAAAACCCACTAGAAATCGCTTACAAACTGGTTAAAATAGTTTCTTTCTTTCTGCTTAAAATGTAAATTTTAAGATATCCTGACTCAATCATTAAGTGAAGAAGGTCATATCATGTCACATGTAATTTGTGTTGTGAAACATTGACTGAACAACATCAATATGTATTTTTTCTTTCATCAAATTTCGGAACATTATTTTCTGATCTTACAGTTATGTTACATTCCTCACACAAGTGACGACCTCCGACCTTTACTGAAGATTGCTACAATTGTCCCAAATACAACTTTAATTGTATAGCTGAAAAAACGTCTAAGTGCAGAAAATGTTCAATTGAATGGACTTATTAAGAAGCCTGGCATTCTTTTCATTATGAAATTATTTTATTTCTATAAATTACCAAATACATTCTCTAAATATTAAATGAGGTAAATCAGTTGGATGAACAGTGACGATAAATGTCCGTCGTCACTTTTATATAGGCAATCCTCTAATGATATAGGCTGAAACAATGAACTCAATGCTTTCCAAATATACTACCGATTCGGGCACGCTTTGGTAGGTGAAACAGACAGTGTCTCATCTATGTAGTATATATGTGTCTGTTTTATTTATAATGTTGTTTGACAATTTAGCTTCTTCATTTGGAAAAAAAGCAATTTTACGGCAAAATAATCTAGTAGTCGTAATAACTCCGCACAATTATAGCGTTTTAATGTTCAGAATTATCAATTTCGCCATTCTTCAGTGTTCAATCAGAATTTTATAAAATAAGATTTTTACCATTAATGTTTGGACACCTTTGCCAATATATCTCGCTAGAAATGTGGCATTTCCAGTCATGAAAAGAAGGGTAAAGAAAATGCTTTTGAACACTTAGTCATGCAATTTCAGATTACAAGTTACAGAAATACCATTATTTCTGCTCCCTTATATTATCCAGACACCTAGAAATAGCATGTATGTCTTCATACTGTCCGCTCCAATAGATTGACAGTGGATTATCTGTTACATAAAATTTGTTATTATATATAACGGGAACATGGAAACCCTATCACGGGAATTCGCTTCATTGTACTTACTCTTCGGCTGTCAGTTACCTGTAACTCTCACCAATACTTATATTAATATATAACGAAACACTCCTCTAATAACACAGCAAAAGTATATTTTTTCTACATACGAGTGGTATTATAGTATAGTTTATTGCAAACAGTAAGGCTATTGCGAGGAGAGCACATTTAAAAAATACACTGTAGTGATGAAAATAAATGTGAAATGCTGCAGAACAGACACATTAACTCGTGTCTTAACTTCATTTGTAATGAAAGGCTACACTTAAAGATATAAATAACTGTTTGAACTAGTTTTTTCATTTGATTTTGATGATGAGAATGTATGTAATTTTGATGTGTTTGAGTATATGATTAATCTGCATACAATATTAAATTCGATTGGTTCAGTTTGGTTTAATTTTGTTTAACGTCCTATTGACAGCTAAGGTCATTTAAGGACGTCCCTCTATGTGTATGAATATGCGTGCCCTGTTACAATTTGAAATTGAGATTGTGTCTGAGCTTCAATGCAATGTTAATATAATATGGAAATAATATACAGTAACTCTATATTTTAATAGTTAAGTCTAAAAGGCAGTTTATGGGGGCGGATGATGTCAATGGTAATACCATTTCTGAAATATGGACCTTAACATGTAACATCCTGTTTGTTACGTGTAGACTGCAGAGCAAAACAAACACTTGCAGTTTACAGGGCTAAAACTGTGTAGTTATGACACCATCAATCCAGTTAGATAGGGGCAGTATAATGTTTGTCATTTATCATTTCCACACGAGCTTAACGTATGGGTATCATACATTTAAAAATCAGAAGTATGGGACTAAGTTAATTTTGGGTTAAATTCCCTTGCAACGTCGCCTGTAATAAAGCTTTGCTAGTAATATAGTCGACTGAATAAATACTCTTGTAAATTATTTGATGCACCAATGATGTTTCGAGTTAGTGGTAACGACAAAAAGTATGTTTTTTATATCACTTTAAATAGTATTAAAAAAACTTACGAAAAACTATAAAAAAAATATGACAAAAAACATTATTTCAATTTTCATAAATATTACAAATAAGTTGCATAATAAAAAGAATGAATTAACTTTAAAAAATAAAAAGAGGAATAAGTCGAAATAATAAGAAAATACTATAACTGTGATTTTGTCTTTGTCAAGCAGACAAGGCATTTAAAAATTTGGTCGCGAAAACAAGCACTATTAGGTTGACATTGATGGCATGTCATAAAGGTAGTATACCTGTCCTCGTGACAGATAAATTGCTTTCAATTTAATCTACCCCAGATAAACAGCTCGCTACTAACGTTCGCCCTAGCTAGGTAGATAACGGATTCTGTCCATAAGCCGGAATTTATTAAAATCCCTAAAATTGTAGTTGGTTTTCCAATAAACGTTAAGCATTTTTGATAATGGCAACTGGTTATCCGTTGTAAGTTTTCTCTGACCGGGCGGAATACTTTACCGTGTGGCTTATGCTTCCAATATACTTAATCACATGTACACATGGAGGCACGTACATAGCTGTACATTAATCAATCTGAACTACAAATCACACCTAGGTATTTAATTTCAACTCGTCATTCAATGTGAATCTTTTTTTTTTCACCGAGTTTATGCTATTTTGTACGGAGTCAGAGTTTACAAAGGTAAATAATCAAGTTTGTTAATATAGAGTTTAAGCGTCTAATAAACAACTATAGTCAATTCAGGACGTGCAGAAGCAAAGTCTATTGTGAGGTCGCATAATCATTGCTTTTTCGGTTTGGTTTGGTTTCATTTTGTTTAATGTCTTAATAACAGCTAAAGTCATTTCAGGACTTGCATCCATGTGTGTTGTGTATGCGTGCATGTGTTTGTGTTGGTGGCAAGGTTTGTTGGTGTATTTGCTGCCTTGTGATAGCGCGGATCTGAGGCCGACTTTATTGTTCCTTTTCGGTGTCTTCTAATAAATGGACATCAATGACAACAAAATTGTCTTCCTATACCATTATCTTACGTTAGAACGGAAAATTTCAAATATATCTTACTCATTTTGAATAACATCATATATATTAAATTGATATGTGAAATAAAGATAAAGTGATTGAAACAAAATAAGTTTTCCAGTCAAACTTTTTTTGTTAGCTGGGATTGATTATAATGAAGTGCAAGATGATGTTCTTTTTTTGTTGCAATGATAGACTATGAAAACGAAGAAAACATGTTTCTTTTGTAGAAAATGATTGCAACCGACATCAAACTTAAAACGAAGATTTATCTAGTTAGAAGGTTATAAGTACTAACTCAAGATAGTGTCGGCACAATCATCAGAGCCCTGGTTAACTGTATCGTCGGCAGCAAAGACTGTACTGCTCGCCCTAAAGTCTGATAATCATTCGTAGAATTAATGTTTTACAGTAAACGTGAGAAATTTAAAATATCATTCTGTATTGCAAACAGAAGTATTTATGCTTTGAATCGTGAACGGTCCATCGACAATGTATATCACACACACACTATATACATATAGATATTCACAGAAATTAATACATTAGACTAGAACTAAAAATATTAAAGGGTGTAAAAGATGTCAAACCGCATTTATAGCAAACGAATAGGTTATAAAATATATCATATATTTTTGTAAAAATCAATTAAGAGCAAAATGTCAAAGAAAAATTGCACATACGCTGCATAAGAACAGAGACACAAGGTGCAAAACCTCATACATGTGCGTTTGTATATTTATCGTCACGTGACGGACGAGCCGAGGAACCCTTAAATTCCATCTTCCCAAAAATATGTCCAAACTTAACATCATTGACGGCACAGTCAGCTTAATCTCTCAGAACAATGTAGCTCCTACATATTTGTGGTTTCATCCTGTGTCAACTGCTTATGGACATTAAAGAAATATAAAAATTGTCTGTTGCTCGAAATCAATACGAACTCTGTAACAGGGCTGTGGTCAAGTTTGTAGATATAACATTATTGTTATCGCGCTAACTTGAAGTCCTCAGTCAGAATTATAATGTCCCCTTACAGATAACATTATCAGCTTACTCCGGGGTTGAGTTTATGTACTTGGTCCCACACGTATACCGGCGTTACGATAAAATCCTGAGGAATATGTGCTTGCTTATGTCCAGGTAGATTACACTATCCCTGCAGTTTTTGTTTCTGCATTGATAGTGTGTCTTTCACATGATCCAACACATCAGGTCAACGTACAACATAGTGACGGCATCCAGAGGTAGCATGATTCAATGTTAACAGTTTAAAATCGGAAAACAAGTGTGGATTAATATTTGGGAATCATCCATTATGAATATTCGGTAAGTTTCTATACATTTTAATTTTAACATAAGAGTGCTCTTGGATGTGTATGAAGTTCACGGAGTTCAGATAAGTCTATCCAAGCCATAAGTCTACCCAACCCATAAGGAGACGAAATCATGCTTAACCAAATGCTTGAAAGGTGAAAAGAGTATGTACGCTATTTTTTATATAATTATTTATACGTAATAATAATTTTAGTGGCGGTTCGGTGGTACAACTGTAACTACATTGAAATATATAAATTCTAGCATTTTACTATTGGAAAGAAATATTTTAAAAATTGCGAGGTTAAAATCACTCTTAATTCATTCTACATTTCAAGATGTCTGAACAGAAAACATTTCTACTTAGAATTTCACATTCTGAAAAGTTTGAATATGCGTCTTAAAATCTTTTTATTTTATCGTCAAATACAAGTTGCTAAAAAAAGGCCTGATCAGATTTAACTGCAGACATTGGGGGTTCGTATTTTTTTTTGTGAAGAAGCAACATTGATCATACATGAAATTCTGCGAAACAAATTAATTGTCACAAAGGATATATAAAAAAATATATAAATATATATTCATTTTAAGTTGGTAAAATACAGTATGCTTTTTCGTTTCATCAAATCACAGGATAGTTATACATTTTACTAAGTAACGAGTACAAATAATGTTTCTCTTCCTTGCTTTTTTACATAGTTAAAATATATTACCGTCATCTAGTAAATCACACATATTCTTCACACCATTTTCAAGCATTTTTCTGCTGAAATACGACTTATGTTTTCCAAAAAAAGGTACATCAGAGGCAAGTGTTAGTAACGGATTGATATACTTCACTACCATTTATGATACGTCCGGATATATCTAGAAAGTCATAAATAAAGAAAAAAACAATATCTGATATGTTTGAAGCAGGACAATGTTTCGGTGAAAAAATCACTACAACGTTTGTCGTTTTATAATAATAATAAACAACATTTATGTAGCCCCCTATATAATTGTAAAATTAATCTAAAGCGCTTTACAGCCTATGGATAATAGTATTAGTAATAACTGTGAAACAAAAATAAGCAAGAAGATAATCATATCAATGTGTACATAAATGAACAAATAAAGGGTGGTATGTACGTGACGTCTATGCAAGTAGTCTAAAATGAAGACGTAAAGAGGTAAATAAACTTCGTATCTTCGTATCCAAGTAGGCATACGTTTGGGTGTATATCCAACCTTAGATAACGTTAGCAGTTGGTAGAACTCTAAACTAAATCAAACAAAACCAAACCGAGGCATAGTAGGCCTTAATAAAATATTTGATTTCTATTCAGCCGTGTAAGTATTGTGTAACATTTGTATTTTGTCAAGAAAGAAGGATTTTTGTTAATTGGTCAAACAATACCTTTAATTACTACACACGTTTTTCCAACCTATTACACCAAATACAATCATATGAAAATAAACATTATTCATGCATGCAGGTTACGGCTAGTGTCATCAACACAATTTATTACTCACCTCTGTTATGGTTCTTTAAGCTGCATAAATAGAGGCCTTTTAAGCATTGAAGGTAAATTGCGTTTTAGTTAGATTATTAATGAGATTTTCTATTGACGATTTTGCATCCTCTCCATTTCAAGTTTGAAGTTAAAAGATGAAATTCATTTTGTAATCGTCTATATATTTGGTGTTGTTTGACTATAAATGACTTCAAGCATCGACGGGCATTTAAACGATATAAAATTAACTATTTCACTTTTGCAACGGATAAGACATACATAGTTTCAATTTGCAAAAAGTGATTATGCATATAATAACTGTAAGACCTACATTAAGGGAATGTTAAAATACCTATTCCTAGGTAAAGCATACATACGTGGTTCCAAATGATTTATAAAAGGATTTTGTAAGTAGGGGCTGCATAATGTAATATCTTATACATAAAAACTAACTTGGGTCTTTTCCTTCTTTCTTCAAGTGTTTCCTATCCCCATTGCTAATATACTTTTAAACGTGGAGCTACTTTCCTAATACCTACTATTAGCATTGCGATTTCTAGCTGTATAGATTCAATACAATCTGTTGACTATTATACACATTTATCCGAAACAAAATCAGCATATTTGGAAGTTGTCGGATATCAGATACATGCAATTTATTTAATGAATTTCTACTTAATCTTTAATTCATTGACCTTATTAAATAAATCTTTTATATTATTCCTCAAATATTTGTTATTTGGATATTTCAAGATTCAGTTTCATGAATAGAGATGCAAAAATGTTAGTTATACTGAACATTAGAAATAATTTTATTTAGTTTAAGTCATCAAACTATCACGTATAAGGAAGTATAATCTGCAAATAATTTAATCTTACTAGACAAAAACAAGTTGTAGCGTTAATATAGAGTAGAAATAAAATAGATCAAGATCTGAACCCTGTGGGACACCAGCAGTTACTTATTAATATGAAGAAAGGAAACCTATAAATAAAAATGATGTATTCAGAATTTTCATAAAACCACAAGATATTGAAATAGATATAAATTGTCCCTTCCCGTCCTTTATATAATACATACACATTAGATAGCTCCCATACATCTAGATCCTGTTCGTTTATGCTTTAAATGTACGATTTCGTGTATAAATCCTGGTGGTTTATTCAGGCCTTGCAAACTTTGTCATCCGATTACTAGGTCCGACCTTATTTAATAAACGAACAAATGTAGTCCGACCGGTTCAACCGCTTAAACGAAAACGACCTTGGATTTTTTTCCAGTACAAAGTGTTTTATTAAAAGTAATATCAAGGGTAATATTAAAGACGGTTCAAGGTTTAAACTACATTGGATTTAACAAGGTCTTGACCAGGAAATATATTTTCTCTTTAATGCATAAATATATGGTCAATAACATCTTGATCAGTAACTAAAATATCTGAAAGAGGAAAAAGTGGATATTACACATATAAATATAGAAATTCTAAATAAGATGTGAAATGGTGATCGACATATTCTGATTTATCACGTGGGTGGAGTGAAATAAATGTCATAATAGTCTATCGGGGGTGATAGGTGTTACACCATTTATTAACAGCTATAGCATTATCAAGTGATTTTTGTAGTTCCTTTATAGATTCACTGTTTACATTAATGACCTCTTATCAACCTAATGATATTCCAATGTTCTGTGCTAAAATCTATTTCACTGCCTCACTTACTTTCTCATAGCATCATTTATCCATTGTATATGCCTAGGCCTAACAGTTATTAACCTATCTGGTAAAAAAAAAAAAAATGTTCAAAAATGGCATAAGTTTAAGTATTATTAGGTTCATTAGAAATAAACGTCCAAAAAAAGGGTGTGTGTGCTTCCTGTATTAAAATATGGATATGACGTAAGGGTGAATGCTGCTTTTAATTTATAAGAGTGTTGATGTTGAGGAATAACTAGTCCCTCAAGATCAATAAGTTCATTGTTCACACTATAAAAATCAGCGTGATCATCATTTCAAAATAAATGTTGTATGAAACACAATAAGACACTGGTATGACATTGCAGAAAGGTGAACTAACATATATATTTGTAACCATATTAATTTATTTTGCAAAAACAAAATGAATTGAAGTAGCACTATCTGGAACAACCCGTGTTGGTTCATTTACAAGGCAAATTAGTCCATATTTTCGTACGTCTTTAGAGATAGGAGTTAGATTTAATAGTGTAAATATTTACATTTATGAATCCGATTATCAAAATTTCTATTGAAGAATATTTTTTCAGTAGTTTATGTAAGAGTCTAGTGGTCTATATAAACAGCCTTGTAAGAATTTCTGATTGATATTTGCAGTGTAGTTACGGTAAATAAACATTCCCCCATTCTATTTAATCTACCTTTTCTCAAAGGTTTGCCAGGGGTGAGATTCTATTTCCATATCACAATCAGTGATGTAGTTACTTACATGTGATTCTTCGTTGCAAATATCATTTGGATTGCTTTCTGTTTCCACATGTTCAGACTTATTTCCTTATGATCTGACATTTAAATGAACAATATCAATATTTAGTAAAGTATCAGGATTTCATATAATATCCGATGGCAGATGAAACACATTTATCTCCAGGAAAGATATCTTATTTATATCTGGCACATCCCTGGACATGTATATTAATTACATCTGATATGGATTGCTATAAAACATGTATTCAGAATATCAATGTTTCAAAGGTGTATATACCTTTAAGTCGTACCCGTTTCAATACGGAAACCCTGGAGGGCCGAGACACATTGATCCTTCACACAAGTACATATCACATGGGTTTTTAGATACAGTCACTAAATAACAATAAAAAACAGCATAAATACACACATCAAGGTATAGAAGAAGCTTTAACATTAAATACATATTTATACACCCGTGTGTCAACAGGACGTACACACCATCGAGGTACCCGTGCAGGTTCGGGAAAGAATAAGCCTTCTGTATCCCACTGCGTGATCGTAAAAGGCGATCGATGTGGGGGCTTCTTGAATAATCGGGAGCGGTTTCTACCTTCTCTTTTTTTTTAAAGACCTGCTGTATTCCACTGCATGTAAAAGGTGACAAATGTTGGGACCCCTGCAGTATCGGGGTTTTCCTACCGTGTCTACGAAGAAGACAATGGACGAGACCAAAATTTAGCTGCTGGCCGGCTCCCTTGCAACACTTGGGATCTTTTCTGTTTCCTGTCTTTCCTGTCTTCTTTCTTTTCTATCTACTTTCTGTTTCAGGCAATGCTACCTAAGCACCCGTCCTCATATGACCCTGGCTGTTGCAAGGACATTATACCCTAAACAAACACTATCGAGGCAAACGGGGTCAGCTTTGTTTACAAAATGTTAAGTGATCTACAATGGTTCTGAATAATGGTTTGCTTTCAATTATAAGCAGAGGTAAGATTCACAATATTACATAGAGTCAGACAGATATATTTTTTTGGAAAATAAGATGAACCAATAAATGATAAGGACAATCTATATTAATAACAATAATATCTTTTATGCATCCAGTGATACATATTAGACATGTCTAATTTACAATATGGCCCTGCATACATTTACAGATATTACAGAACAATACACATAAGCTACATGGAAGATATTTACATATGAAAATACATGTATATTTAACACAAATACAATTCTTATTTGAATAGTATATTGTTATATCATAAAGTAAGTACCAAACTAAAGTTTTGAGAAGAAATTCTGTAGGTATTTGCGTTTAAAAGCAGCGACACTACAGGCATTTCTAATATTTTCATTCAATCAATTCAATAAAACAGAACATGTGTACACAAATGAACTTTTAAAATGATTAGTTCTAGCAGTGGGAATATAGGATATATTGGATATGTTGTATCAATAACGCTTTTGAAAGAGCTAATATATATATGTAAAACACACAGTTATCAGTACAGAACAAGAGTAAAACAAGTAGGGAAATTTGACTCAGAAAGTGTGACTTATAAAGTTATCTGTAAAGCTCTGATGAGCAGACATTAATATTTGAGATGTGTATGATAATTAAAAGTTAAACAAGTAATAGATATATACATGTAGAAGCAACGAAACATTATTTATGTAAACATGAAGTCAGTATTTTATACAAATAGTACACATGACACAATTATAATATTTAGTGTATCCGTGGTAACTAATATATCTAGAGAAGACTGTTCGATGAGTTAACAGTTGTGATACATAACAGATATAACTGTTATCATATGTATAAGTTAGATTTTAATTATCCATGATACCAACACATATGTTTATATCAAAGGCTGTCAATCATGAGACCAGTACCAGTGTGTATATGTAAAGACAATAAGGAGGAGGGGGTGGGGTGGATAGGGGGGATCTAAGGCAGGCTTGTAAACATTGTGTGTTATGCCATGTTCATATATATTGGTTGTGTCATATGTTTTATAAATAAAATTGTTAATGTGGACGATTGAAGAAGCCAGGCGTTATGCCATGCACACATTGATTAAACCATATGCATATATATATTGTATCGATATAACTGTATTAAAAAAAACCATTTAAATATAAATTCAAGATGGCAGGCAACATAACATTGTGCGTTATGCCATGTTTATATATAGAGGTGTATATAATTTGTTTTAAATATAACCATATTGGTTTGGCGTTATTTTGTTTAACATCCCATTAACAGCTAAGGTGACATTATACTGATAACGGGTGAACCAGGTGTTGCAATTTCCCTAGATGCTTGGGGACAAAACCCAAAGCCTTCCCCGCCTGGGCGAACGTTCCTGGTTCACCCGTTGTCAGTATAATGTGACCTGACGGAATGCTGTGCTGGATGCATTCGACATTGTTTTTCAGGGATATAGCAAGTTGGCATGAGATCCGCGCGATTACAAGCAGCCAAATACAACAACATTATCAATCTCCAGCATACACACAAGCACGCATACACAACACACATAGAGGTAAGTTAACTGATCATATCTGTTGATAAGACGTTAAGCCTTGTACAACTAACAATCGAATAAATAATTGATTAAGAAACCTATAACCATCAGGTGCTGATTACGAAATTGATCTTAATACATTCAAGTTGCTTATATATATTTTCTATCGTTGTAGATGTACATCACGCGGAAAGAGGATACGGATATTTCTCTTCGGCTTTGTTGTCATTGTGATCCTATCTTACGTATGTTTTGACTCATACGAACCACTTACAGTTTCTGGAATATCACAGAATACCCAACTAAACGAAGAAAGAAAGGAGAAACAAGTTTTAATGCATCCAAAATTGAAGTGTATGGAACATGCAACAAAAAACACTGTCATTATGGTACTAAACAAACCGTCCAATTCGTTACAGCGGAAAACCATTCGACAAACATGGGGTCATCCACAAATGCAAATCAAGTACAACTTCAGTTTATATTTCGTTCTCGGTAACGAGAAAAATGTTGAATATCACGAGCTTCATATGGAGAACGAAGATGTTTTACGTGTTGATGTCAACGAAAACTATTTTAATATAACAGAAAAAGTAATTGAAGCTTTTAACTGGGCCACTCATTCGTGCTATGAATCCCGTTACTTTTTAAAAATCGACGATGATGTTTATTTTCATCTTAAATTTCTGCAAGAAATACAAAAAGTCGAAAACTATCTGCCAGACGACATCATTCTTGGTGATTGTTTACCGGAAACGGCACCATTCAGACTGACGACCAAATTTAGTGTTTCTTTTGAAGAATACCGTTTTGCAAAGTATCCGCCATATTGCGGGGGTCCCGGATATGTGATGACGTTACCAACCGCACGTAAACTTTACCATGAAATGACGCATACAAAAACCTTCATGTTTGAGGATGTTTATGTCGGAATAGTTGCTTATAAACTAGGAATTTCTATAAAACCTGTTGATCATTTTATTTATGCAATGGACGGATACTTGCATTATCTAAATATCCAGTGTGCTGTAATCATACACAATCTCACTCCCGAACTTATCACCAAGATGTGGAATGAACGAAACACGACGAGCATAGGTAAACATGACTGTTCTCAGTCAGGAAAACTTATATACATTTTGCAAAATATGTTTGGGTTATATAATGGTTGAAAGAATAACGATACATACACATCCATTTTGTTATTTTGAAATACCGATAAGAAACGTAATGTCTTTAACTAAGTCAAACGTAATTTTTACCAGCATTTTTATGATATTGGTCTTAAAAAATAATGTCAATAGTATATTAAAGTGGTTACTCATAATACATCCATTTAGCGTTATCGATATCGAAGAGAAAAAACGATAAAAACAATTGATAATCGAGTGCTGCTAAAAGCATTACTGTATTAGCTTTGCTTTGTTAAGAATTTCACAACCTTGCAAGAGCTAGGATCATATTTAGACCTATAGAGACACTGCTGAAAGGACATAGGAAAAGACAAGATACAAATTGGTTGTATTACATGTCGTTCGATTTAACTTTTTCAGTAATTTATGTAAAGATCCATTAAAGAGATTGTTGATGTCATAGGTGTTCCAGAATAAATTGAGCTACAAAATACTTTCTTATTTTTTTCCCCCGTTTTGTTGTGTTGAATTTTCAATCAGAAGGCAAAGACCAGCCAAGATGGAGAGCGTGTCAAGAAATATTTGCGTTAAATCACTGGTCATTAGGTTATATTGACCTTCAGCCAACACGAACATATTTGTACAACAAAATAGTAACAACTCTTTAATCTCTTCTCACATGAGTAAGTATCTTTATAATTCTTGACTGTNCTCCCCCCCACCCCCCACCCCGCCCCTAACACCCTCGGATATCAAGAGCCGTAAAGTCGGAACATCAAGAATTATCATGAACATAAAACCACTTACAAGTTTATTTGTGTAAATAGAGTTTAACGTTCCCGCGGCGGCCAAGAGCATATGAAACAGAGTGCAAATAGGGGTAAAACACAAACAGAAACGTGGATGTGTCTAGTACTAGAATTGGTGGAGCAGATCCAGTTTGGTTTCTTTTATGTTTCTAATATAGGGCAGAAGCAAACTCTGGACACTGCAGAGGCCGCAGTAAAGTCATCTTTTACAAATTTGATCAGAGGGTCACATCAGGACAATTCTGCATGAGTATATGTCATAATACAAGTCGTATAATTTAAACATGTAATCTCTACACTGTACAATAACAAACTCATTTATTTCTCAGATGTTGTTTTAGTGTTAATCTACGAAGAAAAGAACATTTCTGAATAGTGCGCTTTGTTGTAAGCTCCCTAGGTCTGGTCTGAGGATAAGGACGTGTTATTACTTTGATTTGACCTATATTGATAAGGCGGGTGGCCGTCGATAACGCAATAGACCCCGTGCCTCACGGATACCTGATCGTACTCTTCACGTAACCTTGTTAACGACCTTCATGAACACCTTACATTTATAATTATTTGACATTTCTTTATGAAACAGAATATCATATACGCAGCCTGAAAAAATATAGTAGCTATTCACGTCAACCGAGGTGTATTAACGACACTCTCACACTTCCAATTCCGTCTTTGCGTATTGCAGAGTTATCTTCACTTGTGAGCAGGTATTGATTGTTACGTCATTGGTTTATGAGAATAACGTCATCAATTTTTGAGAAAACGACGTAATTTTCTCACACAAACCAATGACGTAACAATCAATCCTAGTCCGAATTATTCTGACGTTTTATCAACTTTTTTCATACCGGTCTGTCGTCGATTAACGTCAGAACTCCGCACTAGGGAATAGTTTTGGGGAAGTTTCCTCGCAAAGGGGGTAGAAATTACCCTATTTCCGATGAAACTTCCCCATTTTCGATGAAAATTCCCAAAAAAAATTTTATTTCCCTATTCCCGGTAGGACTTCCCCTTTTCTGTGAAAGGACCTGTTACAGGAACAAAAGAATTTTGCCCACAAAGCAATTTAACCATTACTGGGTTATATTTGTAGCTCCCTAAGTCACGACCCATGAGATATTTTTTAAAAATTAAAAAGGTCCCCAGGGCCTGTGCTATGAACTATTTAGTGCCGCCTTCCAAAGGTGTACGACAGGGTTCACTTTTTTGTCCAAAAAACTATCAAAACAATGTTTTACGCTACCAAATAATATTATATTATTTAGAATAGGATCTGCTGCAAATTATGAACTCAAATATGCAACAAAACATTGCATAATAAAAAAGTTATAAAATCTTAAACTCTAAAAATGTTGGTATTTTTATACACTTTTTTGCTACATCAATTGTTTTACGGAAGTAAAACACCAATTTCCGGTTCTTGTACACCAAAAAACTTTTAATATTATTTGGTGCATTATGTTGAGATACGATAGTAAAAATTTCAGAAAATTTGAGAACCGGTAAATTTGTCATATAAATGTCAAATTGTAGCAACGTCTGTTTCCAAATAAAATCCAACAACCTTATGACCTATAGTCATGTTTGATAATTTAACAATACGTCGCACCAATTTATTATCGCAACTGATCAAATTTTCATCAATAAGGTCTGCTGCTCATGATGAGCCCAACTATAAAGCTAGATGTTGCAAAATAAAAAAGTTATGCAGTCTCACACACATAAAAGTTTAGTATGTTATGTACATTTTTAGTTGTTTCGCATCTTTACGGAAATGATAGACATATTTCCGGTTTTTGTACACCAACATACTTTGGATATTATTTGGCACATTATGCTGACTGACGATAGTAGAAATTTCGAAAAAATCGGTAGTCGGTAAATGTGTCAGCTTAAGGATAATATGTTGTATGACCAATGTCGAAATAAGTCTTCAATAACTACAGATCAATGCAATTATTTCATAATTAACCTA